TAAAACTCTAAAACAATGCACGTGACTTTGCAGGATGTATACATGGTGATAGTGCTTTGGTGTCATATCTGCTTTCTTGTATTTTCTTGCAGCAGTAAAATGCACTGAAACAAGACAGGAAGAATGATCTATATATAACTCGTTTCTACTGTCAAGCCATGAAACAAACAAATCTAAGTGATTTTATAAAGGGATGATGATGCAGGTGAATGCTTCTTGTATTCACGAACCATTAGCTAGTTAATTCTGTCCAGAAACAGAGTCATGTTAGAGTCTTGTGTGGGGTGCTAAATGAATTATTTTGGAAATATAATTTAAGTTGAATTGTATTTAATTGGGAAATTCAACTTGTTTTAGAGATGTTGTTACAATCATGCACAGTCATGAATCTTTTAAATCAATAGCTGGCACTTCCCCAAGTAATAAAGCTTTTTACAGACCCTGCTTCCACTATAAAGAATTTAAATCTTTTACTTGAAAAAAAGCCTCCCTTTTCTTTACTCTTTTCATGTTGGTGTTAACACTTCCTCTCCAAATACTGCTGAACCGGGTAGCACACATCTGCAGGACAGCAATATAAGTTTCTGTGTTAAATTAAAATGTGCATTTCTGTGCAGGTTTCCTCTAAAAATGAATTTGCCTCCTCTGATGTATTTTTTGACATGTTCCGAGGAGTTCCCCTCCTGCAGGTGCTGTTGCCTTGCAGCAATTCAACAGAGAGTTCACACCTGTCTGCCTAACGGTTGTGAAGAAGCTCAACAGGCATCCTTCAGCATGTCCTAGTTGAGAATAAATTCACCTGCTGGGTAATCCAGTCAGCCGGAGCATTAGTCTGCTGCTCGTGACGCACAGGTCGACTCAGTGGAGCCGTCATGGTTCTCTTTTTTACTGCTAGAAGATGACCTGGCCTGTCAATAACACAACTTCCAGTGGATCATATTACTAATGATTGGCAGTAACTAAGCACATTTACTTGAGTACTTTATACCTGCCTGCCTGTTCAATTATTGCACGTCACAGGAGTCTTTGAAGTTGGTATCTTGACAGCTATGAGTACTAACAATAACCATGTTTGGTGTTTACATTATCAATGATTATTGTGATTGGTTTTGAAGGAACCCTTAAGAGACAGGCTAATATGGCTACTTGTGCTGCTAGGTGCTTTGCTGGAAAATAGTAGGCTGGGCTTTTTGGTAGGATGATTTTCTAAATATTACTTGCACTTCAGGGCTTTTCCAATTTACCCAAGCCTCAAGTAAAAACATTTTGACTTTCTTTTCCCATTTATTTAATTACTTTTGTTGTTTTAGTTATATAACTATAATAACAAATATTCTCAACAAATAATTGACCATGTATATTTGGTTAAGATAAAACTTGATTGATCCCTTGGTGAAATGTACAAGCTACCCATCAACCATTATAATGCAATAATATATATTATTGGGAAATGGCTTGTTGAGCAGAATACTAACACATGTTGCAATTTAATGCATTTTCTTTAAACTTAAGTAACATTTTAAATGCAGTGTATAGAATGTCTTCACTGCATTGTTACTTCTTGTATAAGTGAAATGTACTTCTCACCACTCAAGATCAGATATAGTTTAGTCATTTTGCCAGTCAGTAGAAACGTGATGAAGTGTAACAGTAACCCTGACAAAGTCAATGCCGTCTTCTTTGGTTGTTAAGAGCTTCTGAATGTCTAACTTTCAGACACCTCTATAAGATCACATTAATCGGCCATGGGTTGCCTGCCAGAGAGCTTAGCTCACTACAAAACACTCCTCAGGGCAGCATAAGGTTAGCTCTGTGTGGTTAGATAACAGATAATCAGTGAGAAGAGGTGTTCGCTCCTCTGCCGTGCAGCTCAGTAGCTTCTCCAACAAGCACCAGATACTTAGCCTGGTCCCTAAAGCCGCTGTTACCTAATGACAGAGTCCTGATGGAGCCACAGGCCGGCTGATTTAGACCATCCAGTTCAAAGCTTCTTGGTTTATGAGCCGTGGCAGACCAGGCCTTACTGGTTTATGTGTGTGTTTGTGGGTGAAGAGTTGGGGATGGCTCTACAGTCACATCAATGTTATGCAAACCTATTAGAGGTTGCAGTGCTATAGCTCCAGAGTGCTCAGGGCTCGCCCGCAGGGTCACACTCAAGATGACCTCTCAGTGAATAATGTGGCCTGCTGGTAAAAAGGAAACGAGTGATAATCACAGTATCACAATGTCAAACAGTGCTACCATGACTCAAATTACTCACTCTGAAACTGCATTCATAAAGCGGTCAGAGTCTCAGGTTCAATCATTGAATATGGATTTTCTGACACTTCTTTAGCTATGTGTTTGTTTGTTTGTTTGTTTGTTTGTATATTTGCTAAGGCTGCAACTAACCATCATTAAGAGTATTGATTAATCTGCAAATCATTGTATGGACTAAACTATTAATCGTCTGGTTGGTACATTTTAAATTAAAGCCTAAAGTGTTATTATGATATAAAACAGAACAAATTGAACCCTAGCCAAATTTAAAGAGCATCAGCATTTTCTGCCAATTTTGACGATTAATCCATCAACAAAATAAAGTTATTTATTTTTATTCAATTTTTTTGTTACTGATTATGATCACAGATTCTATAGCACTCTATGTACAGAACAGTCTTTGAAAACTTGATGCTGATTCATGTTTAAAAGGATGACCATGTAACTTTGAGACAAATATACAACAATGATCTGCAACATTGGCAGGTTGAGTCTTTCTGAGGTACTTTGTGTATCTGTTCCCCCTCATTTCTTCTTATCTCCCTGTTGTTTATAAGAAAGGCAAAATGAACCCCAGAAAATCACTTTTATACCCAACAGGGGTTGAATGTGCACACAACCTTTTCCACAGATGATACTTGTTCATATTATTGGAGCGTGACATGCTCGGTTTGATTTTATAGTTATTTCAGAATCTGAATCAAAATACCTTTATTTCATCCCACAGAGGGGAAACTTGCATTTGTTACTGCAAGAAAAGAGCCAAAGACAGCTTAATGTTATATGCATTACAAAAAGAATAAAGATACAACATTTCAAAGAAAATGTACACAATTGACCAAATACACATCCTGTAACAGTTCTGAGATATAGCAGCCAGGTATATATTGCACAGTTATTAACGGCATTAGATAACGTTCAAAGCTATTTATTTGGATTGTTCATCATTGCTGAGAAGTGCAACATGACATTTCTATTTGAAGCTAAATGGATGTCTGCCTGCATGTGTCTAGGCTTTTCAGACATTCATAACTTGTCTGTTGTGTTAAGTTTTTGAATGCATCCAGTGAATCATTCATATATGAGTGAGGTCAGTAGTTTGATGACTCAGCAGGGCCGTGTACTTTATAAGGCCGTTAAGAAAATGCTTGCTAGAACACCGACTGAATAAGCCCCGTGGCTTTGACTTCCACTAATCATCTTAGGCAATGCATGGCTCCCAAGATGCCTGCATGGGAACACCTTTACTGGGCCGCAGCATACGACTGGTGGTACTGTCACCATAATCATGCAATGCTTAACAATGCAATACTTTTATCATGTTGTTGCTCAAACAAACAGATATGTAAATGAATGCAAACATTTTTTATTAAGTCTTAAACTTTTTTCTTTATGATTTTAATTCCTGCAAAGTACAAGACTGTTGCAAGAACCTCAAAGAAACGCGGTAATTTGCATAATGCATGCAAACTAAATGTTAGACTTCATTAGAAGAAGAGAATCTTGGCAGGTGAAATCTCAAGTTATTCGGTATGCACTGCACCGCTGCAAACACAGCTAATAATTCAGCTTTACATTTAAAACGTTTGAAATGCTGCTTTAAGAGGTTTTATGTTTTTGTTTTATTCATATCTAACAACAACAATGTTAACATTGCTCATGCCTTGTGAGGGAAATGAATATATAGGCATTATAAAAATGAGAAATTATAAAAACCAGGAAGAATCTAGTGCACTTTTTTGTTAGAAAAAAATAAGATACAATAAATAAAGACAGCAATTGAGTTACAGAGCAAAGGTAATAAAGACATTTGGGGATGTTCAATACAGAGTATACCATATAACAAAAACCATATACAATAAATAGAAATATGAAAGTTCTAGGTTTTGTTTATGGGGTAATGTATGTGCTAAAACAAACCAGTTTGAAATAAAATATAAAACTGTTCTTATTCCTGTTATATTTGGAAAATGCTATAAAAGCACGTCAACTTTACTAACTCTTTGCTACCACAATATAATTAATATTTACAGTGGTGTTCAGTAAGTACATTTTCTCATGTAGGCCTACTGTACTTAAGTACCATTTTGACATTTGTACTTTACTTGAGTATTAATTCCATTTTATGTTGGACTTTGTACTTCTACTCCACTAAAATGTAAGGTTAATATTCTACTTTTACTCGACTACATTTTTGTAGTAGGCCTACCTTTGGTTACTGGCAGATATAGATTAATGATAAACAATATGATCAACACTCAAATAAAATAAGACTTTAGTTACCCAGCAGTATACAAAGTAATTAAAACTAGCTGCACCTTCACCAGGTTGATAAACACATCAATAATTATATTTAAAAACATGTAATATATATGATTGTGAAATGAGCCGGTGTGCATCATGAGTACATTTTACTTTTGTTACTTTAAGTATATTTTGATGCTAATAGCCTACAACTTTTGTACTTTTACTTAACTTGAGTCACATTTGCAATGCAGGACTTTTACTTGTAACAGAGTATTCCTACACTCTGGTTGTTCTACTTTTACTTAAGTACAAGATATGAGTACTTCTTCCACCTCTGCACATTATAATTAATATTTAAATAGCCAGGCCTAGTAGTACAACCTTACTGTGTGAATTGTTTTATACGCTGATCTTGTTGCCGGGCCAACGCGGCTTCCTATTGGCCGCCGCAGTACCACGTGACAGTCCTGACGTCACGGTGAGTGTCTGCAGGCTGAGCGGAGTATGTGCAGCGGAAAAAGCTGAGAGAGTGTGGACTGATAGCAAGCCGGGAAACTGCAGCTCCTGAGAGGCTCCTGCTGCTAGCTGTTGCCCTCCTAAAGTCTGTGAAACTTTTCACTGCTGAGACGCGAAGTAATGGACAATTAGAGAGACATTCAACAGGCTTTCAACAGCTACTTAAAAGCGAGGTAAGTTGTCGCTCACGCTGTCCCTCCCTCCCTCGCTGTTTGTCCGCTTCCTGTTACTTTTTTTGTTGTTGCTTGGACCTCAGGTGAGATGAGTTACAAGCTTCAACTGTAACTTTACAGACTTGTATTGGTCTGCATAATAGTATGTTATTCTATTAATTGCAGCAGCGTTACAAGATGGTAGCAGCGGATAACGCTTTACCTAGATTTGGATGAGGCTGCTCTTCTTTCCTAAATTAACTTCCAGGGTAGCCGGTAGCAGAGGTGCTGTGTGTCCTTACACACTTTTCATATTTATTTGTAGAATGAGTGAGGACAGGAAGTGGAAAAGGAGTCCTCCACAAACACACGTCTGAGTGAGGTGAGGCAGGGTATCTCCTTTCAGCAAACACATCAGTCACTCAGTGGACTAAAACAGGACAGAGGAGGTAGCTTTATTGGACTGCTGATAGGCTACTTTATCTTGGATTGAAATGCTTTGCTGTGCATGAATGCCTGTGGTGGATGTACTGTCAAATATATGGTCAGTGTGGTAGCAGTGAGATCATGTTTTCACTGAAATGAGGTGAGTAGCTTCCCAGGATTACAAGGTATAACATATATTTAAGTCAGGGCATCAAATAAAAGCTAAAAGATTAAATATTTGACAATGATTTTGATAATCTATGTATCTATTTACCTCCTTTCCTATGATCATTTACATTTTTTTAGCAGGTTTTAGATTCTCAAATGTGAGGATTTGTAGGATGTTTGTAATTTGTTTTGTTTGTTGCAGTGAACCACATTTATATAAAAATTGATCTCCACAAAATGTTCTGCTACAATTTCGCATGAGCCCAAGTTGAGGTCTTTAAACAGCTAGTTTTATCTGACAACAGTCCCAAATATAAAATATAAAAGTATTGTTGAAGCAAATAATCAATTCATTTATAAAATGTCAACGTATAATAATAAATAAATAATGAAAACAGTCATTAGTTTAATCCCTACATTGCATTGCTTATTCAGTGGAGCGTATTGGTTTCAGGTTTCCGTTAAGACTGAGGTTTAAAAGTGGCTTGTTGTATTAAGAGGCTCTATGCAAATTAACTTTTTGTTAGCTGTTGGTTTGTAGTTATTGAACTGGTTTAGTTTGTGATGTGGGATGTAAACAAGAAACCTGCCATGAGTGAATTTCCTCTGGCTGTCTCTGTGAAATGTTCTTGTAATGATCAGAGTGTTTGATCAAGTGAAAGAGACAAATAAACATTAAAGTGACAAGAAAAGCACAAGCTCATGACATAAAATGACAGATGTAGTAGTTGGATATGAGATAAAAAACACAAAAAGACACACAGACTGGTTTTGCTATCTTTGAGTCACTGTGGCATCCGAACATCTGATGTTTTTTTAGGACATTAAATCTCAGTCCAGCTACTCCTCTCACCTCAGGAAGCCAACACAACATGGCAAGAATCATTTAAAGACCAGCGGAGGTGTGGACACAAGGGTGTAGTCGAGATAATAGCCCCCTTGGTGTCGGAAGCATCTCTTCAAACATTTCAAGATGCTGAACTCTTACAAATGTGTGCTAAATTTGAACAGATGTTCTATTCCTGTGTGCGTGGGTTTGTTTTGGGCCAGTCTGACCACATTGGCAGCGTCCTCTGTAGTTATGTTTGTCTGTGCAGCAGTCAGTGCTCTTTCAGTTGAAGTGGACCTTGTTTTTTAGAGATAGGAGTCAGGGAGAGCGATTGGAAAAAACAAGGATGAGTGTTAGATTAAACAGAGAGCTTCAAATGTTGAGATAATGATAGATTCTGGGCTGTCAGACTGCTGATATTTTGGATAGAAAGCCGCAGTTAACACACGCTCTGCAGCATATATCACTGGCAGAGCAGGGTGGGAGTTGTTTAGTCATCGGACAGATTGACATTTCCATCTCCAGAGCCTTTGTCTTTTCAACAGGCTGTTTCAGAGAGAGGCACATTTAGATATTCAGTGCAAAGTAAACGCCACTCCTCGTGCAATGAGTGACAATTTGCTGCGAGTGTGTCAGTGTGTGTGTGTGCCCAAGCCTGGGTCTGTTGCAGCTCTGTCTGCCTTCTTGCAGTTGTTGTCAGTGACCATTTTTTTTTTAATCTTGTTCTCATTCGCTCCCTCATAATGACCTCTCTGTCATGATTGTGGTTTTCTGCAGCGCCTTGACGCACAAAGCTCTCCGGCTGACAATTGGAGCTCATGTGTGCTGCATTATGATGAAGTTGCTGCCTCGGGTTTCTCAAATTAGCAGGATGAATAGGATTTAGAGAAGAGAAGGAATGGACTTTGTCAACCAAAGAAAACACAATGTTATTAATTTAGAGTGCTGTAAATGAAAATAAACTAACATCCAGAGAAACCAAATCCTGTCAATTGTACAAAAACTAATCTTAACACACGTTTCACATCACGGAAGGCCATTGAAATGACAACTAGAAGCAGAAATGAAGGAAGGACATTGATTAACCCAAATATTAAGGGAGTGTATGAGGATTTTGGGGCTATTTTTAGAGCTGTTGCTATGAATGTTACTTTAAAGTGTGAATTGGCCCCCAGCGTCACTTTGATGTGAAACGTTCTTGTGTTTGCAAAAAGCTGGCTGCAATTTATGATTCATTTCATTATGAATTATGACCAGCTGCTGATTAATTTCTCAATTCATCTTTCAGTGTTCATATATCTCTATAGGTACGTGTTCTTGTTTTGTCTGACCATCAGTCCAAAAACCAAAAGATATTACATTTCCTATAATATGACTCAAAACAAACAGTAAATCCTCACATTGGAGAATTTGAAAGCAGAGGGAAATAATAAAAAAAGATTAATCAATTGTCTTAATATTGCAAATTATTTTGTGTCAGTTAATCCACTAAAGGTTTCAGCTCCAGACTGGAAAATGTTTGTGTCAATGGAATCAAAATCATACAAACCAGTAGATTATTTTCACTTTTAGCTGCTGCAAAGTCACATTTGTTCTTACTATTATTACGTATATCACTCTCTAACACTATTTACTAATCCTTTTTTTACTATTTGAGTCAGTTGGAGCTGTACATCTCTACAACCTTATTTGACTGATGTGCCATGATAAGTATTTTCCAAACCCTCTGCTGAATTTAGTTCCCAAGACACTGTGGCACAGATTGGCCTGACGGTAGACTGGTCCTGACCCTACGCTAAATAACTCAGGAGATAAAGTTGCAGGCAGATATTCAGGCAGCCGCTGAAGCACGCTGAACAGCCCTCATCATGATACTTGTAACGTGAGCACGGGGCTCTTGCAGCTGCGTTTGATGGCGGTTTGAAATGTGCTGCTGACCAGACATGTGATCGCACACGAGCTGCGGCCAGGAGATGTTTAAAGAGAGGGACGTGCACGGAGTATTCATACCATAGACTGTATGATTCATACGTGCCAGACTTATGAGAGTAATGGCGGTCAGAAACACAACATTTTTCTTTGGTCCTTGTGTTTATTTGTAGCTTCTTTTAAAGAAAAAACACATTGGTGTGGTGGTCTGAATTTGAGTCTGATGTGCTGTAGGGCCTCTCTATTGTTAGTTATTTTTGTCATCCTGCGCTGTGCTTAACTGCATTTTAATCACACTGATTAATTTGTGGCAGATTATTATCGCTGTCACAGTTGAGACGTCAACCAACTTTGTTTTTGTGTGTAGGTATCTTTTAATTTTCAAACTAGACATCATGAGAGAACAGCAATTCTACATTAGGGATTTTTTTGTCACCTTTCGGAACCATCGAGAAGACAGAAAATAAATTGGCAATAAGTTTGCTCATTAGTTCATCGTAAACAACATTATTTTATGTAAAAAATGGTCTTAAAGCCACATATTTCAGCTTCTCAATTGTGAATTAGATGTTCTCTTCATGCTGTTCTAGCTCTAGGCTCCTGCAAAAATAGATGATGCAAAACATTAAATACGTGCCTAAATAGCAGAGAAGAAAGTGAGTGATTGTGATGTCGCCATCATCAAAATCATGTGTCTGTGTAAAAGACTGTATGTCTGTTTCTGGCGTTCAAAATCACATTTGACATGTCCTCGCCTAAACCTCTGTGATGTCTTATCAAAGCTGAAATGAAACATCATTATTTAATAGCGACCTCTGGGTGAATATCACACGGCAGATCTTGCAGGTTTAATAATTGCGTCCTTGTTAGGTCGGGAAGGACTGGCTTTACCTCCGCAGCCTGATCGCAGACGGATCATATTGCATTATGAACGTGTCATTCATAAACTAACCATCTGTGATCAGGTCTTCTTCAGCTCCCCCCCCCCCCCCCCCCTCTCAGCTTTCTTCTGCTTTCTGCTCTTGGATTATCTGTGGGACCTTTGGGTTTAGATTTACCTGCAGGATATAAATGGAGACTTCTGGCGGTTACATAAGTGGACAACAAGATGTTCTGGGATGGTGGCGTGTCGAGGGCTTTTCATTCGAGCAGCAAGAATGAGTCAACCTCTCAGATGCTGCTGTAAAACATATTTGCTGCAGAGTTGTGTGGGATTTCAGCTTTTAAACCAGTAATTCAATAGTATAATGTTATATAATTGGCTTAAAAAATGAAACATTTTATATATAATTTAATATTGAAAAGTGTTAAGAACTAAGATTTGGTATCACATGTTCGGGTCAAATTTTTGGAGTTGTTTCTAAGTACTCATGATTATTTTCATTATGAATGCATTATCTTTATATTAATGATCAAACCAATAATTACGTGGTCCATAAAATGCATTCACAGCTTCCCAGTGGACGTTTTCATAATTATATAAAAATAGATATATTTGGTAATACTTGTTTTTTGTCACCATCAGTCCAAAACGAAAATAGATATCCCTTTTGCTATCAATTAAGAATTTATTTGATAAAATTATTATTACCGGTAGATTAATGATATTGAACAATCAAAACGTTTTTTATTTATTAGTTTACTATTTTTTATCATCAATTCATATTTG